AGATGGCGCGCGCGCGCGCGCCCACGGTGGCCGCGCCGCCGCCGGCGGCGGCGGCGGCGGAGGCGACGGCGGCGGAGGCGGTGGAGGTGGAGGCGGAGGCGGCGGAGACGCCGGAGGTGACCATGGCGGAGGCGGAGGTGGCGCCAGCGGAGGCGGCGGAGGCGGAGGCCGTTCCAGCGGAGGTGACCATGGCGGAGGCGGCGCCGGCGGAGACCGCGCCCGCGCCCGCGCCCGAGGTGACCATGGCGGAGGCGGCGCCGGCGGAGACCGCGCCCGCGCCCGCGCCCGCGCTCGCACCGGCCGCGCCCGCGCCTGCGCCCGCGCCTGCGCCGGCACGCAAGGCCCTGGCGGCCTTTGCGGACACGCTCTGAGGGGTGAGCACGATTGCCGGCGGGTCACCTCGCGCAGACTGCATCGCGCGAACACGTGCCGCACGACCGGACGGCCTAACACGACGGTTACTGTACGCGCTCGTGTGGTGGGGTGGGGGGTGGGGGGGTATGGTCCTGCTGGCCAGCAGGCGACGTCCTGTGCGGGTGGGGGGGTATGGTCGCGGCGCCAGGGCGCCGACCCTACCATACCTTACCCCGCAAAAAGTCCGAATCCAGCGTGGCTGGCGGTTTTTGTTCTTTTTTTCAGTGCCCGTGGCCCCAACGAATTCTTTTTGCTGAAGCCAGGGCGCCGCTTGCCCGCCGAAAAGAAAGCCAATTCCGGGCCCTCGGCCTGCGGGCGGCCTTCTCTCGAGGTCTCGAGATACACAAAGCGCCAAGGGCGCCGCCCTCCCTCCACCTCCACCAGTGCACATGCAGCCAGCCACGGAGCCAGCCACGGAGGTGACGGACTCGGACTCCGCCTCTGTCCCGCCCAGCGTCAAGACGACGCCCAGCAGCAGCAGCGCCGAGCGCATCGAGATTGGGGAGGGCCCTCGCACGCCGCAGCGCGTCGTGGCCTCGTACACTTGCCGCGGCATGTCGCTGCTCTTCCGCATCTCGCTGCTGGCGGCGGGCGTCTTCTTCGGCCTCGTCGTGGTGGTCGCCCTGCCCATGCTCCTCACCGACGCGTACGTCCAGATCTCGTGGCCGCTGGCGTACGGCGCGCTGTTTGCGTTCCTGTCGCAGCTGTCGTCGCTGGGCAAGGGGATCCAGAAGATCGGGGTGCAGTCGCTGCCGGAGATGTCCTTCCGGCGCGACGTGCTGCTAAAGTACGCAAAGTCACCCACCTGGCGGATCGGCTTTCTGATGGACATCAGCGGCGCTGTCTTTGGGCTCGCGGCGCTGACCATCCTACCCATCTCGATCGCGCAGCCCATCTTTTGCAACGGGTGCGGGCTGCGGGCCACCCGCCTCGCCGCCCATGAAACGGGGATACTCTACGACCTTGTCCAGCTTCCACGTGCACGCGACCGATTCGTAATCTCTATTATATCTAACGCGCGGCCGCCAAAGTCGGCGGCACCGGAAGAAAACACACAATATCATACGGCTTATCATATCACA